CGACTAATTCACCCATTGAAGGTCCCCCTCTGTGGTGCGGTGACACCCGCCGTGTTGGCGCTGGCCCATGTCCCCCCGAGTTGTCCGAACAGCTGCTCCCGCCAGCCTGGCCTGGGGGGCAGCGGGGCCAGGCATGGGGGCCAGGCAGGACCCCATTGTGGGGGGGGACTGGGTTTGGGGGTGCTGTGGGCTCATCCCTGTCCCTGCCCTGTAGGATGGCTCCCATGGGACTGCAGGGGGTGTGAGGTGCTGGTGGAAACTCAGGGGGTCTCAGGACCCCTAGACCTTTGGGGCAATGGCTGGAGATCGAGATTGGGCTCATCCTGGTGCTACAGGAGTGCCGCTGGATCTGCCACCAGCCAGGTCCCACAGCCCCCAGCCCAAGGAGGGGGCACCAGCAGGGACAGGCACCTGCAGCACAGCCACATCCCGGCCCAGGCAGCGCTGACCTGTTAGGGGACAATGCTGGGAACTGGTGGGAACAATAGTGCCGACAGGAAGCGCAGCAGTGAGAGCCCGTGGGCCCTGGCCCCCTCTCTGGCTGCCCCTGCCCTGGGCGCCCCGGCTGCAGGAATCCTGCCGGGCCGGTCAGTGGGCTTGGCCATGTCCCAGCCCCCTTGGAGCTGGTAGGCATGGCCAGGGACCCTGGGGGTTTCGGGGAGGGGGCACATGCCCCTGCCCCCTACTGTCCCCTCCCAAGGGCCATCCTCTCTGGGGGCTTGCAGGGGATTAGGGCTGGGGACAGTGGGAGGTGACCCGTCCCTAAGCCAAGCGCTTTATCTGCGGCGGGATCTGTGCCCTGCGGCGGGATCTGCGCCGGGCAGGACTCTCCCTTTGCCCTTCGCTGGGAGTGATCGGTCCCGGCACGCTCTGTCTCCCCGTGCCACGGGGGCTCTGCCCGGGACAGGGGCTGCCCGGCCTCAGCCACCATCTCACAGGAAACCACCTCACCGGCGGTGCCCGCAGCCTTTGCTTCAGGCTCCTCACCAGCCTTGCACTCTGGCTTTTACCAATGACGTTATTTTTCTGAACAAATGCCCCCGCCAGCCCCTGCTGCGGGTCATGGCGTGTGATCAGTCTGGGGGGGCTGGGGGGCTGCGTGCGCAGCCGGGAGGAGGACAGGAAACGCCGCCCGCGTGTTTATTCTTCGTTAAATAACTCGTTAGTGTGCACGGTCTCGCCCCTCGCCCCCCTGGCGTCGCCCCTTGGCTGTCAGTGGGACAAAGGGATGGTCCCCGGGGAACCCTCAGAGGAAGGAAGGAAGAAGAGAAAGAGAGAAGGAAGGAGCCCCCCTGTGTGCCCCCCCTGGGCTGGAATCAATCGGAGCAGAGGCTCACCCTGCTACCTGCTGCTGGTTCCTCACC